TCTACTAGTAGGATATGAAGGTGTGTTAAGTTTTAGGTGGCTTTCGTCTCGGGAAGCCTTACATGTACCTAGTAGATGATCATGGTCTTTTATGTAGATTTAGTAACAACATGTCCTTTCTAAAATCCAATATACAGATGCACGTTGATAGTTTTCTTGATCTTAAAACTTTAGAAAGCTTCATCCTTTCTCTTAATGCAATAAAAGGCATTGTAATAAAAATATACACGCAACTCATTAGTCATCCAACTTATACGACTGCACTTATTGTAGTAAACTCTAAGTATCTAAGATTCGATCTAAGTTAAGTGTATGCCGAAGTCTTTTGTTTTAACATAGTCTGGATTCTGCGTAGTATAGGCAGACCATCATACTCTATTTCACTACATGGTATGTACAAGGCATACATAAAGATATTTATGTTTATATATTATACATACACAAATGTATATGAAAAGGGCGTGTCTTTTAATAGCACGTGCAACAAACTATCCGGCCAATGAAAGCAAGAGGATAAAAGGATAAAGCAAGAATAGAAAAACAAAAGCAATTTATGTGTAATGATGCATGTAACTATAAAAGTAAAATAAAGGAAATTTTTATTAAAATGATAAAAAGTGAAGCGAAAATACCTTAGAAATTATATGCGGCTAAAGTCGAATTCATTAACTCCAACCATCGACAGTTATTCATTATTCAAATAGTTGTAATTTTTCGATAATTCATGCCTAGTATTAGTAGGGGTTTCATTATTCGAAGATGAGCTTCGCTTCGTGTCGTTAAACCACATGTCAACAAGTGTATTTTCTTTCAATTTTTTGCCAGCATTGCTGCTTCTAATCTTTAAAAAATTCCATCATTAGAAAACGAAGCTAATACAAAAGAGACTAATTTGTCCCGAGGGACCTGTGAAAAAAAAAAAAAAACCGTTTGGAATAAAGACTGAGATTTTGGGAAAAATTTTGGAAGACGAATTATTTTAACGAGCAGATAAATGGGAGATGGACAGAACAAGTTATAACCAAACCGATTTCCCTTTTGTTGTCGATTGACAGGTAAAACTCATTGGGCATACATGCATTAACAAGTGACTAATGAACTTAGCCTATCATCCGATGACATGTACTTTGCTTATTGTGCAATTATTTATTGAACTTAATACATTTCCCATATTAGCTTGGAAAACCTGTTGCCGGTCATTTACTAAATATCTTTGAAGAGCATAAAATATACATAAAAATAACTAAGCGGCATTGAACTATTTGCTAATCATTAACATCAACCGGCGTCAATTTATTTGATTGGTTTTTTCGTTTCGCTTCTTCTTCTTCATTAACCATACTATTACGATGAATTTGCATTGTGTTCAAGATGTAAAATCATCCAGATATGCTCGAGTTTGTGGATACAAAATGCGAAGCAAAAACTTCATGGCGTTTTCCCCGCTAAATGCTTTTAGAGTCGCGCAACTTTGCTAACGCTAACTCTCTTCAACCCATGCCACGGCACGCCTGAATTAAAATAAGGAACATTATGTGATCTGCTGATTTTCTCAGAAGTAGTAACGCTTTGAAAGTGAGCCAAAATGCTAAAACAATTTCGATATATTTTACAATATCACTTCGATTAAGGCGATGAACCGGTGTAGGCTTGGGAAAAAGTTCGGGGAGTTTATGGTGTAGATGGTTCAGCAAACGCAGCTGCTTATAAATGGTTGTTCATTTCCGCTCTAAAAATTCGTTGACGAGTGCAACGAAATTATTCAAAATATTCAGAAAGAGCGGAACGTTTTCGCTGCTAAGCTAACTATTGATCATAAATTAATTTTGAATAACTTCCGTAAGACTAGAAGAAGCTTATGTGGGTACCACACCAATCAGTGGACTTGATTTCCATTTGCGAATCGTCGCTGAAAGGAAAGAGTATATTAATCGGAATCGATAGACAACGGAGCCACATACGAGAATAATCCGCAGAAAAGTTCGTAGTTCAGCGTACATGAATCTGCTTACACAATAGCAAGGCGCAGATTAATGTCGCATAGTAGTGCGAGTTTTGGGGTTTCGAAATGAAGTTTTGCATCATAAATTGTTCCAAACGGGGTTCTCCACTCTCAACAGCTAATTCTTTTAAAGCATAAGAGAGCACCCACAATAGATCAATAGAAAAGATATCGTTTTCTATTACGACGTCGAACTTCTAAAAGCCCTGTACAGCCTTTGTAGCTTGGCATAAGTTAAGAAAGTTTCGAGGGGAGTCATATAGAGTATAGTATCTAGCCTCATGAGACTAAGGTTCATCGCTTTTCCTACAAGACTCTGTTAATGGTAAAAAGATGACTTTAAAAGAGCTTTACGGAAACCCTTTGATACAGTTTTTCCTCAAACTCTGAACATTCGACAGCGCCTCAAAACTTTTTCGTTTATTTTTTAATAAACAGTCGGCTACAGCAATAAGAACAATACCGAAAATGCGTTAGCTAGCTACGGTTATCGGTAAAAATCTCAAAGCGTAACCATATTGTGCGGAGGGATCAGTATTTATGCTCTACACCACTTATCCGAGAGGGTACATTAAGTTTGTGTGAACGTTTGGAACACCCAGTAAAACTTGAATTAGACCCACCTTCAAACATACCGTTCGATTCCGAATCGTTTTCTGATTTGATCTAAGCTCGTCTGTTCATCTGTCCGTCAGTGCGCCTGACGTCTGTCCTGCAAATTTGTGCTCAACAGATCGCAATTCTCGAGATATTTTGATAAAACTTTACGCACTGCCGTGTTTTGGCCCAAGGACAAGCGCTATTGAAAACGATTCACATGGGACCACTTTTTCCATCACTTCCCGCGTAATGACTTATTTTGATAAGTCTTTATAAGAATACATTATAACATTATAATTGTGGAAACTTTGGATAGCAAATTGTGTGAACCCCTCCCCATGATATAAACTGATTCCTTATATGGTAAAAATACTTAATAAGGCCTTAAACAAAATTTGTTCATTATAATAATTTGATGTTGAAAATTAATCTGATCGGATTTGCACCATGTACATCAACCCATATAAAGTTCTAAATATAAGGCACATAGATCCATTTCTAAAACCGCACCATGTACAGGAGCTCGCATGATAGCAAACTCTTCTATGCCAGCAAAGTCTAACTTGCGGTTTGTTATGACGGAAACAAGTGGAAAATAATATAATTTTTAAATTAAGTTTCCTAAATTTAAACTAGGTGGACGATTGAGTATCCTCCAATATGGAGGTTTTCATCAAATTTATGCACTTACAAAAAAATAATGTACAATTTTTGATGTATTATTAATTAGGTGAAATGGTAACGGTCGATCTTACCTGGGCTAAAGCATACTCCCTGGTTGCACTCTACTGCACATGTGTTATAGGGTATATTAAGTTAGCGCGGGCGTATCTAACATGCAGAAGGGCTTTAGCCGCACCTTCAGAATCATAAGGTAAGACTCTCTTTCTGCCTGTCCGTTTGATGTATATATGTGTTCAAGCTACAGGTCGCAATTTTTGAGATATATTAATAAAACTTGGTACAGCGAACCATTTCAACTCCTTATTTTGAAAAGGCGTTATGAGGCGAGTGCTCCAAAAAAGTGTTATATGGAAGAAAATTATAGCAATTTTATGCAAAAATGAGTTCTACAAAATATGGATCATTTACGCCTATTTTGGGATCCTAGCCCTATGTAAGGATTAAGCTTGTACTACATTAGGTTCTGGGCCCGCTTCCACATAAATACGCACATGAAAAATACGCCTTTATACAGAAATAAGATATAATTTTTATGCTCTATAATAAAAATAAGAATTGTGTGAGACAGTGCAGTGTAGGGTATTGTATGGTCGACCTTGCCCGACTATAATGTTCTTACTTGTTTTTATATTACTTTTCATTGTTCGTTTATTTTTTTTTTTATTTTTTCAGTTAAGACTGATTTATTGCCTTACATTTGTATTCATGTGTGCTGCGGCTAGGAGAATAATAACGAAAATCTCTGCATTGCATTAGCAATAAAAAAGTCTTTCCTTAATTCCACAACTATTTGATGACAAGTGTCTACTTAACAGCGAGTATTAAGTGTTTATTACATTAAAACGGTAGCTTTTTTCATTGTCTAGAACATGTTACTGCAATGAATGACATATGTTCTTAGAAATAACATGCTCAAGAATCTGATAAGAAACTTTGACTTTAATATAATGCTTTCCGTAAAAGAATTAATAAGATTTATAAAGAAAAGACAAGTAAATAGACTATGGTGAGCCGCAGCTTGTCAAAGAATATCCAACACTACCCTACAATTATACATACAACGACTTTTCACAATAAGGTCCGATATGATCCATCTCCCATAATGTTCGACGTTGGGTCAAAACACATCAGTATACGAAATCCCATCAAAATATCTGAAAAATTTGCGACTTGTAAGTTGAACAGAAAAAAAATAAATTGAACAGATGGACAGTCAAGCTTAGTTGCGTTTAGAAAATGATTTAGAAACTTATTCTAAATCAAACGGTGTAATGGAAGGTGGGTGTATTTCAAGTCCCTCTTGCGAATTGCATACATTAGCACAACTTAATACGTAAACTTATAAACTTGATATACCTTTATATCAAAAACGGGGTACGACATAAACACATGTTTTTTATTAAGTTATCAAAATTTAGAGAGTTTCCTCTAAGGTCTAGGCTGATGTCAACATGTATGATCGCAGTTAGAGCCCTTTACTGAAATGCCTCTAATTAAATGGAGATTTTTTTTACCACAGAAATACATCCAATTAACTCTTCATCAAGTGCTAATTAACGAAATTCCTGGAAGAAAGATACGCTTAGCGCGTTAAAATTAATTTTCCGCTCGATTGAGTTATTATAAAAAAGAAAAACTACTATGAGAATTAGTTGTAGAGAATGTGCAAGCACTTCGTATATATAAAAGGAAGAACATTAAAAAAAACAACAACTCTTAGAGTCAAGTAAGATCAAGCAACAGCGAATAGTTTGTACGCATAAATAGAAAGTACACGAGTGGAATAATTTAAGATAAACGTTAAAATCTATAAAACCTATAGGTTATAAAAGTTATACATTAAAATTAAAAAGGAAAAACAATTAAAAAAAAAGGGTTAACTTCCCTAGGCAACATTAGTAATATCTTTGATTATTGGAATTGGTGGATGATCAACCGAAATTGTTGTTTTGCTTGTAGCAGCAACTTGGACAACAGCTTTCTTTTGTTCTCTCCTTGGCGGATTCTTAAGTAACGTTAGGAAAGGCGCGTACAGGAAGCAAATAATCGCAACCCCCCGCAACGTCCACGTAAAACCAACAGCTTTTATTAAACTACCACTCAAAATTGGACCTACAATAAAGGCGATACAAAATGCCATATCGCCGATAGCATAAACGCCGCCATAAACGGCCGTGTGCCGTATGTCGGCCAGATAGCTCAGCTGAGGCATCATTGAGGACTCAACCATAGCAAAGCCGATGCCGACACCTGCATTTGGAGCAATTAGAAGTACAATAGAGGTAGCTATTGGCGTCTGTAGAGACAAATGGTTTAATTTTTATCTAATAAACTTGTTTTTCTTCATACCGTCATCAAAGAAACTCCAATAACAATTAAACCTAGAAGTGCAGCTAGCCATCTGCCGATCTTATAAGCTAATCGCCCAAAAACGTGAGTACCAATGATATAAGCGAGGCAAGTTGGAAAAAAAACTACACCCTGTTCCCAACGGCTGGAACCGAAAGTGTCTACCATCCACAACGGTAACGATGGCTCCATTACAGCCACACCCATGTTAGCAATCATAAGAGCAACTATTAATTAAAATAGAAAGTCGTCGTCATTCTCTACATGTAAAGTATAATTCAAATTTATGGAAGACTTACTGACTGTAACTATAATGTAGGGATCTGTTATTAGAGCTTTCAAAGTGGGAGGCTCTTGCTTTGATTTCTGGACTTTCGGTTGTAGTATGGAAAAGTGAAATATCGCAACAATGAAGGTTAATACGGATAATATTAGAAATGGTGCTGATTTTCCCAAAAATTCATACATTACACCACCGAATGATGGTCCAATTAAAACACCCAAAGCTAAACCACCTAAAGCGATTGCCATAGCATTTCCACGTTCCCTCTCATCAGTGTAACTAGCAGCCAACATAGCCATACCACAAACTGAACAGCAAGATGAACCTATGCCCTGTATAGCCCGAGCCACGAATAGTATCCAATAAGTGCGGCCAAAAGCAAACACTTAAAAGAGAAAAGTATGTTAAGAAATACGCAGACACACTTAAGCTAAATTTGAAAAAATATACTTAGACTAGAGGTGAAGAGAATAAAGTAACCAAAAAACATCGGTATGTTGGACCCAATTCTAGAATGGAAAAAAAAAATAAAATAAATTATACCTTATACTCTGTGACATACGTAGTTCCATTTTGGAATATCTAAGCTTATGTTATACGCAATTCGTTGAAGCAATTATTGCATGCAAGACGAACAGGTATTTTGCCATAGACTTTTGAAGAGTTTGTCTATACTCAGGGACCGGAAAGTCGGCTTGGTCTCACATACCGGGACCAATGTCTTTTATGCAATGGAAATTTTGAGTTGGACTTGACTTTTCCAGTTCGTAAGTCGTAACCTTGACTTGGTCTTGACTTTAGCTGCCTTGGCTAGTCTTGCCTCGACTTGTTCGGCCAGATGTTGTCGGCAGAGATTCTCCCAAAACTTATGCTTAACTTAATCCTGATAACTAAATGAGAACCCTCCTCCGAACGAAGAAGATCTGTTACAAAAGTAAGGAAAAAATTTAAGCCCTCTCAAAGTCAAAAAATTGTACATTACGAATGATTTTAAAATGTTTCCATTTGTGTGGCCACCACAATCTGGGTTTACAGAAATGCAATAAGAAAGTTTGAGGGAATTAAAATTTGGAAAAAAATTAGATCTACACAGGAATGTACCTAAACTTGTTAGACCGTCAGGTGTAGGAATAGGTATTTGTTAAATTGTCACTTATCGTTGTGAGGACACTACCTCTAACCTTTAAGCGTTAATTTATTCCGTTCAAGTGTACACAATATAATTTTAAAGAGATTCGAAGAAGTCGACTTCTTCGTCGCAAAAAAACGGCACAAGTGGGAAGTGTTCCGCTCTGTTTAATTCGAAGTGAAATGCTTCAAAATCAAGATCCACGATGAAAATGAGCACGACATGGTACGATTCAGGTCAGGGGGACTATTAAGCTTGGAATATCCATTGCCCACCTTCTAACGATGTCGCATGGGTTAAGAGCGCTATCAGCAACAGTGACAACGTTCGGCTTTACAGGACGAAACTAGGTTGGGGTACTTTCGAAGCAATGAACTGGAATGTGTTGTCTTCCCTGCTATAGTCATCAGATATTACTTCTTGTAATACTTATTAAAATCGATTATTTCCTACATGAAAAGTGCTTCCATTTTTATTACGGTAATCAAAAAATGGTTTTCAAATCTCCAAAGCCAGATCAACAGAAGAATCTGCAGCTAGCGATAGATAATGTATACAATTCTAATAAAGTTTCACTGTTCCTTTCAAAGTAAAGCTTATTTTTCATAAGAAACAAGTAAGAACTTCATAGCCGGGCGCGATAGCGCTTATAAAAAAATAGACCTATGTGATCGAAATTCATTACCATTCATTTTTTCTGCTAAAACGTTGCTATGAATTCATTTTCATCATAAAATATTAAGAACAAGTAAGAACATTATAGCCGGGCATTAAATACCCTACACCATAATGTCTAACACAATTCTTATTTTTATTATGGAATATAAAAATTATATCTTGTTTCTGTATAAAGGCACATTTTTTCATGTGTGTGTTTATGTGAAAGCGGGTCCAGAACGCAATCTAATCTAGTACATGTTTAATCCTAATAGGTCAGGGTCCAAAAATATTCGTAGATGGTCGATATCTTGAAGAGTTCATTTCTGTATGAAATTACTATTGTACGTCAATTTTCATTACCACTTATTAAAACTTAGATTTTTCTGCTCCTTATTAGAGTACGGTCTAAATAGGTTGTTATAAGATGAGTGGCTATTCGTCCTTGGACCAAAGTACGTCACCGTACCGAATTTCATAAAAATATGTCAAAAATTGCGACCTGCAGCTTGAACACAAAAATAGATCAGACGGACAGGCGAACAGACGGCTTAAATCAATTCAGATTATGCTTCTGAATGGATCGGTATAATAAAAGGTGCGCCTGCCTTAAGCCCTTCTGGGTGTTACATACGTCCCCACTAACTTAATATACCCTGTACCACAAGTGGTCTACAAATCAGACAAAAGTTGTTTCTACATGTGATAAACACCTAGAGGAAGCCTTTAAATCGGACTAACAAAAAAATCAATGCTAAATTTAAAATCATCTTTGACCCAGCTGGACAAGTAGTACGAAAAATGTTTATCGAGCAATATATCTATGGCAATTATATATTTGATGTTCTCTAATTGTAAGCATACCTCCCTTTAGGTAGCCAAAGACAGTCGAATAATTAAAAAATAAACAAAAACTAATGTGCGCTCCTATCCTAATAACTATGTTTGTACATGCTTTAATCACCTTTGCGTTAGTGGGCCTACAATTGGATTAGCCAAAAATTGCACAAACGCTTTTGAGGCCAACAAATATCCCATTTCCATCGTCTCGTCAACCAGTTCGTTATGCCGGTTTTCCATTTCGAAAGGAGATGTTTTATTTCCTATTAAAAGATGAACATAAACATAACATTATTTTAAAAGTCATTTACTGAGTTCTTGGTTTAATGAAGCTGTCAATTATACTAACCGTCTGGATGAAGTGTCGATATCTCACTTGAGGGCAGTGAATAGTTGCCGTCATCATCCCCACTTTGCAAAGAATAGGACGAGCCTTTGTATGACATTAAAGAGGTTGGTAAACTTCCAAAAGGCGCATCCGGATGACGTATATCGTACAAGTAACCAGGTACAACAGGAACTAAAGAAAATCAAAAGCATTCACTTTCTTGAATATTAAATAGTTGATGTTCGCTTAAAGTTTGTTTTTAAGGTTAATGTAATTATGCTGTAGTCGTTGATAACTAAATAATTGGCGAACAACAAGTCCAGACGAAAAATCGTTTTATATATAATTAAATGGATGGCTGTTATGATGAACTGTTTTACTCTTCGAACAGTGTAATGAGGGAAATATGTTTTATACACACTTTTTATTTTATACCTTTTATTTTTACTCTTTACTTTACCAAAGTGCATTAGAAAAATGATGACGTTAAAGTTGCAAAAAGTTTTCACTTTAATTGCTTTTCGTCCCTTTCTATAACCGCCACCGGAGGAGGGCATGTGTGTTCGTTTTATTCGAACGTATGCAACATTCACAAGAAGAACTCAGTGATCCGATAAAGTATATATATTCTAGATCATTATCAATCGAATTTAGGCAATGCCTGTGCTAAGCTTTCTCCTGGTCGCAAACATGAGGCTGTTGACTACAGAAACGTTATAAATTCTTGGCAAATCGGTCAAAGCACACGCCTACAGTACCAAATCACCCTGAGACTTCTTCTTTTTTGTCAGAAAGCTCATATTTTCTTGACCACATACTAAGGCCATGTTGGCAGCGCCCTCCCTCTCCCTCCATCAGTCTTTATAATTTTAGTGGTAACATTTTCCTGACCGTAAGCCTTAAAATATATTAACCCGAAGAAATATGATTTTTCTAAGGACACGCCTACAGTACCACGTAAACTAAGAACACTTGTCTTTAAAAAGGGATAATAAATTAGTACAATTGGTCCTTGACATGTCGGCTTGGAATTTGAAGAATACAATGGAAGTCTTTCCTGCTGCAATGCGAGATAACTTGAAAGCATCTCTGTTTCCGAGTGCAATTAAAATAAAGGCTTTTGCTCATCATTTCCATTCTAAAATAGATTTACTGATAAAAATGTTGTCGTCGCAAAATTACTTTTTGCGCGTTTTCTTTTTAAAGGTAGTCGGTATAAAAAATTCGTTCACAGCCGAACGTAATTTCTGTACTTGTTTGTTTTGTTTGGTTACATAGATGGTCATTCATTCATTGTTTCAAATCGGTACTGTGACGTTTTCCCTTATTCTCTCATTCCCACATTTGCTTGTTTTCGTATTTCCTTGTTCCCTTAATCGCTTGTTGCCTTATTTCCTTGTTTCTTTAGTTTGATATCAAAAGTTATTGCGTAGCCATAAAGCGGTTCGTTTGACCAATGTATCCACCTTTTTTTGTCCGAGAACTAAACCGCGTATTTTCGAAGCCTATTGCACAGTACAAGTACAACATTGTCCTGCTTTTTGTTAAGATGACTTTAATTTCCGGCCGAATAAAATTTGTAGTTCACTATACATTAAACGAAAATGTATGTTATTAACTGCTATGGCTTAGTTCGTCAATGGAACGTTCGGCGAGAATGCTTAATGCCAACCGTGGCGCATACACAATACTTTAATCACAAGACCCTTTACATTTAAATCGGCTTTACTTATCCAAAGTCCTAGCTTGGCAGTGGTTTAATTGCCAAGTATGTCAAATGTCATGTCAATGTTTTCACTACTTAAAGAGATGCCCATGCCTACGCTCTAGTCGCCTTATATCTCAAAGCGACGTATGAGGATACAGAACGTGTAAATGGGACAGTTGCGAAACGATACAAGTCGAATTCCTGGTGAAAACAACTAATACAGAGCGGAAATTTGTGTTATCACAATGCTTGCCCATAATTTTGGCGATTAGCTTCACGAGAACGACGCTTCACACTCACTTCCTTATTAAAAACTTGGTCCGGCGGAAATAATTCACTATCCAGTACTCCATTCTTAAGGATCCACTTTTAAGAGTGTTGGTGCAAAGACCTCAGGCTATTTGCCTTAAACAAATGTAATGATTTTGCTTACTAAAGAAGTCTTCCTTCTTCGGCACGCTGCGCGATTGTTCATATCGAGAAAAAAAACCTAAAAATATTTTATATAAAAAGGAAAATAAAGACTGTAAAGAGAGCAACAGATATGGGTTTAATGCGTAGCGCTTTCAACAAAGAAAATTTATACTAAGCAGAGACTTTCCCCGAACAGCCCTGTTTACTTCAGTTGTTACTTTATGTAGTAGCTTGCCGCCCAATGAAAAGAAGCCCAGAAAGAATGTGAACTCTTTCGCAGAGTTTCGTGCTGATTATAATAATTTTAAAACGGCTGCTGCACTGAATATTGAACTGCGACATAATTCTCCGTCTTCCCCAGAGAAAATGCCAACACAGTTTTAATCAATTCGAGACTCTAGAAATGCTGGGGCTCCCTATGGCGGAGATTGTGCATTTGGAGATTTCGATTCATTCCAAAAACAATACAATTTTATCAGCGGATATAGTGAAGAAGAGCCTACATGGGCTGTTATTCCCATAAACCTCTGAAGACATTCATATTTTTAATCAGGGGAAGCTACTATTAATTTTTAAGTGAAAAAAAAAATACGAAAAAATGAAACCGTTGTTCACTACAAACCCATTCTCGTTGTTATCCTTAATATACAGTTAGTGTCAAGAAATCGATTTAACTCGGGGTACAGTCTATCAGATATGTTTCTAAAGTTGTTCGCAAGCAAGTTTTCTATCATAGTTAAGCAAAACAATGCATCCTGACGTGATGTTACATGGAAAGTACCGTGACACCGATTAAATGTCACATGCGTTTACTAGTTACTAATAGCGAACCATTCTACTCCCTTTCACCCCACCCGATACAATTCTCACGAAATTTTAAGGTAACCTAGAAAGTGAAAGATTTGAACAAGACATTATTAGAGCTTTCTTAGGACATTATTATGCTGTTAAATAGGATCAACGAAAACCTCGTTTCTTTCAAAGAAACTTACGAGAAGTTGATACCATTTCGTTGATATGACTTTAATACCTTTAACTTGTAATCCTTCCCAGATTATCATAAGATATTCGCGATTATGATTAAACATTAAATTAAAAAACGTATAAACTTTTGATATGATTGGGATGCTAAGGTAAAAAAGTTACCTTCGCTTTTTCTGTGGCAAATTCAAACCTTGACCAGAGAAGTTACATAAATTTAATAGAAAATAAAAAAATGTCTTTCAACACAAAAATCTCTTAAATCAATTCGCAATTTCTGAGTCGGCTAAAGGATGCTTAAGTGCAAACAGTAAATGTGTTCGCTGATGGTTACAGTTGAATGGGGGAAAGAAAAGTAACTTTGTCGAAATGTTTGATTTTTGTTAAATGTAGCCACTTAAGGTGATTGCTTGCTCTGACGTTTACAGCAAAATTTTTCCTTTTTCTTTACATTTCTTTATTCCAAAGAAAATGTACATCCGATGTATGTGAATATGTGTAGATATATGATAATGTACGCATTGCCACCTTAGAAAAAAAACCTTTATATTTTTACGTTTTTTTTTTTCGTCTTCTTCTTCTTTATGCTGGTATTTAAACGAGTCTAACTGCTGACTTTGTGTTTCAACAAGTTGTTGTTACAGCCTTCAAGGGAATTTAAGCCACAAAAAAGGTCTTATTATATTTACACGGTATTGTGGCCTTTGTGCCACAAATACACATACCATCGTAGGTTTAAAGTTTGACATTTCAACTGCCGTTCTTAGGATTTTAAGAAAATTTTTTCCATTTTTTCTTTTTTTCCAAACTTTTGAGTTCGTTGTTGGGAATGAATACAAAACGCATACATCTTTGTTAAAAATTCGCTTACGTTTTCAATAATTTCTCACAACATTTTAAGCAGTACTCGCAAATATTTTCTACTTCAGTCAATAATTCCCGGGATTTACATAGAGATGTCATCTCGAAGAAAAATCCGTATTATTTTTAGGCAGCACCGTCGCCTTAATAACTCAATTTTTTGCTAACGAAACAACGAGTGAATCGAAATTTCATGTGTTGATCATATATAGCTTTGTGATGAAGAAAAAATGACATTCAAATTCAATGTTGGCGTGAAAAGCGTTGTGACAAACGTTTCCCAACGAAAACAACAATTTCTCATTTGTTTGTTGATCTTAGACAAGTTTACACGAACGCCGATGAAGATTCTTTTATGTGTCTGCAAGTGCGGGCACGGTGGTGATCAGAGTGATTAAGTATTTGAATAAGTTGTGCTTAACGGTTTATTATACTCTCTATCGAAAGTTCAATATATATTTTATTTGTTCAAATGTTTTTCAAACTCGGAAAAAAGTTTCACAGACGTAATAAAATGTATGTATTACTGACCCAGCATCAAATTGTAAATCAATTTAGGTATGGCCACAATCAAGGTATCAGGGTCATACTTGGAAATCCTCGCAATAAATAATATAAGTAATAAATAATTTGAGCAAATTAATAAAAATGTGTTCGGTTAAAAAGATTTATTGAATGGGGTTTTTTCATCCAATTTTTCTCACTTACCAACTGTTGTCAATAACATATTCTCTATTAGTAAAGCCATTGTTACTGCAATTAAAACTAAACGGTTTGAACGGCGCAACACTTTAAAGACGGAATAAAACCCCTTAGTACTTTTATTCTCTTGGCTTTGAAGATTTGATGGAAAAGTGAGTAAATTTTCTTTCTTCTTACTAACTGTAACCATAGTACGTCCATCTGCTCCTTCAATATTAAATATGCACGAGGTCTTCTGGGTGTTTTTATAATCGTAGAAGTCATCATCGTTATGGCCTGTGTACCGTTGCTGAAAAAATTCCTTGCTTTGTTTAGTGGGAGACAACTCGTATGAATCTTTACTAAATGCTTCGAGAAAGAAAGCTTTTGAAATCTTTGATTTCGCCTTTGTCGTATGCAAGTTCAATTCATTGTACCACTTTGGCGAATTTAATGCAGTTGAAGTTTCCGTATTTATAGTACTTTGCTCTTTGAGAACACCATCAGATTTCAATGATGGCATTGCTTTCTAAAGCTAGAATGATAAGAGAAAAATTGATATTTTTATTTAAATATATATATAACAAATAATAAAACTGCTGAACAGAATTGTTTTACAAAACTCTCTTGCTACCTCCGTAAACATTACAAGGGAGAAACTGAGAAGATTTGCTTAATACTGATGACGCGCATTGATGCGAAAATTTCATATCGACATATGCGATGGCATGTACGGTTATTTTTGATTGCACTAGACCCACCAGCTAAGAATAGAGAAGAAGTAGTTTTTGCGGCTTTCTATTGTTCAGTTTTATTCAGTTACTTTAGCTTTAGCTGACGAAAAAGCGCGGTATTCTAAGCCAACTATTTGTTTTTTAATACTATTCTCGCTCACAAGTCTGTGGATTTTCTTCCGTTGTTCAAATTGGAGCTTCTCGATCAATTAAGAATTTGATGCTGATCAAGACTATATATACTTTGTGGAGTCTCTGCAGCTTTCTTCTGGACGTTGCAAACGTTTTGACAAACGAATATACTTCTCATTCTTCGGTGATGGGTATGAAAAGGTCGGCCACACTGTTTACTCTAGTAATTGTTAAAGTTGAAGATATCGAAGATTCAGTCTACAATGAACATTACTTTCCTACTTGTTTAATTAAGAAATTCGTAATGAAAAAATGGATGCAAATATAAGAAGATATTTAAAATTAAATTAATCCTATCAAGTTATATTCTATAGCGTTAACTTGTAGTTAAATATGTTTATTCATCCCTTAATAAATTACAAGTCATGACTTTCTTTTCTTCAATTAACGTAAGCCGATAGGTGAATTTGCTCACAATTAGGAGTTGCATTGCCGTTTAGCTAAGGCATTGCAGTAAGCTCCAGAAGAAAATCAAAATTATTTATTTCTTGATAGGATAGACAAAGATACACAGCCTTACAATTGCAGTTCATGAATCTTCGCAGAACTTATGTAATGTTGTGCATATGTGCTTAAACTGATTGGCAACCATTTTCTATAGAAAGTAAAAGAAAATAAAATGATACAAATATTGCATCGTACAGTCAATTGACTTGATGTCTTAAAAAGCTAGCAATTGATTATCTAGAGATAAAATGCCTTTTCCTCATGTCAATGACATTCGATTTTCGACTTATAAATAAAAACAAATTCATGTACAATATCTTTACTCAAAGTGTAAAAATTAATATTTTGTGCAATATACTATGAAACTTGAAACCTTGTTAACCTGAAATTGACCTTAACCTAATGTTTTTACTCTCCAACATTTCCGTTTTTAAGCATTCCGCTTTCCGTATTTTTAGCATTCGTTTTTCTTGTGGTCCTTCGCAGGTTTTCTCTTCTCTGCATCTTCTCTTTATTAAAATGCTTGTCAATTTCATATTTCTTAAAAAATTTTCTAGCGAAGACATTAATCATTTGTTTATTCTTTTTTTATACCCACCTACTAAACTATATATATTCTTGATCAGCGTGAAATTCCGAATTAATTCAGCCATATCTGCTCGTTTGTGTCGTGTGGGTTGTTTACAATCTGCTGGTCGCAAAAATGAAGACGTGAATGTGTGATAGAAACATTGGAAGTTTTTTCAAGCAAGTTGGTATTGAGAATGGACGAAATTGGTCAATTGGTTCCAAAATAAAAATGATAGACAAAAAAAATCATGGATATTCTCAATTACCAAAGGATGGAAGTAACACATATGAACGTGTAAGAGATCGATTCTTCCTAAATGCCCTGAGAAATCAATTTTTTTAAAACGTTCCAAACTGTTAGGTACGGGGGGTGTGCAAAAAAACAGTGATATTTTATTTCGCTTGAAAAATGTTTACATATTCATTTGTCCCCTTCAAAGTTATCCCCTTAGATATAACGTTAGATATAGTAATATATGTAGATTGTACCAGTGATTTTGCTAATCCTTAAATCCTTCTAATATGCATTTCGTGGCGTGGTCTTGGGCTCTTTCAGCGACGCGGTCTTTATCAGTTTTGAGAGTAAGAGAAAATCAGTTGAATACGATGGCTAGGACATTGTTATTGTTGTTGTTGTTTGGCCAAAAAATTGTAAACATATAAGTACGCACTATCGCCGTGCCATATCCATCCGATAGGCCGATATACTCAAAAGCTTCTTTAAGAGTGATTCGTCGTCGTCTGATCAAAAATATGTATACTTAAAAAATGACCCTGATCCTTCGGTGGTGGGTGTAAAAAGAAATTTTGAGCATTAAGAATATTGGCTATCGGCTCTGCTTTACAAAAGAAAATTAGATATTAAGCACAATAGTTTTAAGAAAGTAATATACGCCCATAGGAAAAGTTCAGGCATTCACCAAGAATGCGCTTTATTGTGAGAAGTTGTCTACAATTGCAGAAGAAGACTTCTTTGGTGAACGGCAATTGTATGGCTAAGACGAATTTTCCAAAAATATTTCGGTTTTGATTTTCTCAATATTTCTTGGATATAATGGTGGAATTAAGTGAGCGTTGATAGAGGAGTAGTACTGATAATAGTATAGTAAATTTTCTTCTATAATTTTCTCTTTAACTTTTCTTCCGATGCTTCTTTAAAGGTTCAACTTTTCAGTGACATCATCCAAAACTAGGGGTGCAGAAGCAACACACTTCGTTGCGCGACAAGCTCGTTCATTTCTCAATAAACCGATACGACTTGGTACCCAATGCATTTTAATTTTATCGCCTTCGTTTGTGGATGGTACTCCATCCCGAAGTCGAAGGATTTCCAATAGCTTTTAAAATGGACAAGCTATCGGTGCGATGACAGTTTTAAATTGGCCTTTATGAGAAAGAATGAGGGACAGCTCTGGCTACCTTTTCGAAAATTGAAGCACTTTCATGAAGTATGCGCTTAAGAAGAACCCCACACTGAAGTATCTACCATGGCACAAGCAGGTAGCAGATCTTCAGATTTAGAGCTATCTATATATAAAACATTCCAACCGTTATTTTCGCTCAATTGAGTTTTTTCTCCAATCAGCTTCTTGAAGACATAACTTGAAATGTCTTTTCCTTGTATATAGAGAGCGAAATGTCGCAAGGATTGTCTTTCAACGCTCATGGAGATTTTAAACCAAAATTGCGAGAAGTTTTTTTCAAAATGTTCAACCCCTTCCTGTTCCTACAACCAATAGTCAATTGCGAACGATGACTTTCTAATTTTTTTTTTTGTTAATAATAGTCATGTCCACATCTTCACCCAGAGTAGACTTGTTTGAGTTAAGAATCTTGGGAAAGATTTTAGCTTTTAATTCATAAAGTCTATTTTATAAAGCTGGGAGACCTGTTTCAATTAAGATATTGTTAACGAACGTCATCCGAAAAGCATAGAGACTTGCTCTAAGAGCTTCCTGATAGATCACTTTAGGGATGTTGGCATTAGATTTGCGATTATTGCCATAGATCATCAACCCTCCTTCAACCTTGCATAAAATTAGCATTTTGGTAAGATAAGCAATAGTGTTAATGGGCGCATGGCTTCTCAAAATTAATTGAAGGAATTGTTAAGTGGTTCAAAAATTGCTTTGGTTGTATTCCGTCTCTACCTTTCTTGAAACCTACTTATTGCTTTGTAATCAGGTTCTTGGACCCAAAAAACCAAAGTATTCTAAATTCCATAATCTTTTCGTATTTCCTCAATAGAGCATTGGACTTAATGTATAAACATATATAATAACAAATTGTCATGGCCGGGATATCGTTTAAAGCGATGTCGTGGGCTTATTTTGTTTTTCCTCAATAACAAGTGCGCGTTGTTCAAGGAAGAGAGATGAGCAGCTGTGCGGATGGCATTAGATAAAACAGCAGCATCATGTTTTCAATTCCCGTTAAATGGCTTTGAATTCAGAAATGACTCGGCTTGTTTGGAGCAATTAATCCAGTTACCTTTATCTAGGAGGAGTTTAACTTGTTTTGTCGCACTAACAGAAGAGCTTGACAGATTAAGATCGATTATGACTGACAAGTAATTGCCATTATATAGACGATCAGAAATAGACCAGGAAACCAAAGGAAGAATTGGTGGAGTGCAACATATTAAATCAATAAGAAAGAAGGTGCGATGAGTTGTAAAATGTGCTGGGCTTCCATCATTTAAAATGAGGAGATTACTTTGAATGAAGTTCTTTTTTAAAACAGTGCCACGAGTGTTACTCTCTGTCAAACATCAGACAGTGTTCCAGCTGTTAAAGGAGGAGAAAGTAAGGAGAATTATTTATAAATCTCGTGTTGAGAAAACGATGGCGAAGGTGGAATATAGAGCGAAAGCATTGTAAATTTTTTGTTTAGGATAATTTGTACCGCTACGGCCTGCATATTTGAAGATAAATTAATGCGTTTCTGAGTGATGTTGGATTTTATAAAAACACCAACTCCTTGTCTTGAATATAAATCTTCAAATTCATTCACGAAGTATCCAATATATGATTTGGGTGGAAAAGAATTAAAAGAACTTCTACAATGGGTTTCTTGAACGATTAAAAAGGTTCTATTGAAATCACTTTTAAGTATGCGGTATTCACCCAAATTATTTATAAGTCCTTTAATGGTCCTTTCCAGACTTTTAAAAACTTTATTTAATTGTGGTGACATGAAGACGGAGTGATAAGTAAGTTACACTGACCCCTCAACGTCTCCTTCAGGAATCGGTGTTAATGCCTTATTAAGATGGATTTGCGAGGCGATGGCAGCGTAGGTATTACTTTTGTCAACTCCTTGCTCAGTTGGTTTTATTTCCCGGTACATGCTTCGCGCTTCGCCCATATTACAATAATTTTACGTTTTGATTTTTAGAATTTCACGCATTTGTACATAACGTGGGCACTGTTTATCTAACGACGAATGCTGATCGTTGCAATTTATGCGGCAAATTCTTATACGGCCATCAGCAGTTATCAGCAGCTTCTATATA